GAACCTCCATCATACTATCTCCTGCAGATTGATTCCTGGGAGATCTGGTATGTAACGGAGGTGGATCAGTCGATATGTTGTGTTGGTTGGGGTACCCCTACCCTACCTTGGGAAAGAAGCTGAACTAACCAACATATCTACAATCAAGGATTTTCCGCTTTTTTCAACCGAATTTAGTGACACATGCTTTCAAAACGGGTGAAGAGTATACCTTGTTCAGATGTGGTGTGGTCTTCCACGAGTTTGTTCCTCTAACAAGAGAAGTCATACTCCACAGACATTCTTCGTACCCTTTCCGAAGGGTGCTCATCTGGTTAAATTTTACACTGATTCCTCCACCAAGTCAATGTAAGATTCTAGCTATTATGCGAGTGCAGGTAAGATATCGTAATATTGTCGTACACTGAAGATACTTACCTCCAGGGACACTTCCCACTCTTCTACCTAATCTCGAAGTAAAAAGTGAGCCAGCTGTGACAGGAAAACTTCGTGCTCCTATTGGTGGAGGGTTGTCTCATGCTACAATGGGATAGATGGTAGTTTCAGGGTTAGTGGTGGGTGAAAATATTTTTGCTCATAGAGGGCAGCACTGAACGAGAAAAGGAGGTAAGTAACTAATGGAAATATATTTTCAGTGTAGGAAAATATTAACTTTTCATATCCTCACAACCCCCTTTTAGGTCAGGACCCCAAGTTTGAGAAACTTTGACACTACTAATGTAAGGCAAAATTGAAAATGGGTATTACCAAAATTGTCTTCACAGTTTATTTATGTAATCTTCTGTGTACATAAACTATATATAAGTACCGATGTAAAATTATTTGGCTACCTTTATGTATATTATTTAATATCCTAACATTTCTGTATGTTTTACGTGTAATAACAGATCGTAGATATAATGACACATTTACATGATGTCACAACAATACGTTATCTCAAACACAGCAAAACATTAATTATGAAAAGAATATTGCTAAAATATTCTATTAAGAAGAGATTCAAAGATTTTATTCATTTGTTGAAATCATTCATTAGTATAAATAGTTGAAAACAACAACTATAGATTAAATGCTTTAAACAGTTAGCTGAGTTTTGTGTGAAATTTGTTCATTACAGTGATTCTTGTCCAATATAAACACAAAATCAGGAATTTACTTAAATTTATCACGAATCCAACTATGTACTACATGTATAAAGTACTAAATAAAGTGTGTCTGATCATCTCTTTTTATAGTTGTATTTTGTTAGATAGGCTTGACTTCTGTATGATGTTATTTTACTAACATAAACAAACTATACATATGCTATTGTTTGGATCAAGTTTATATTTTTCCAAAATTATAGACATGTAGATTATTTTTGTGTTTCATTCGATATTTTAGTGTGATAAAATAAAATGGCTGCTCTTAGGGCAGGCCAGCACTAATTGTTACTGTTACCAAAGTTTGGTGTTTGTTTTGTCATAATTAGCTTTTCTTATGAACTATTTTTCATGATATTGATATGAAAATTTTTAAGCCTTATATGTATTATTTGCAAAGCTGATTTTTAATGTGTACTATAGTTTTATTGAAAATGTGAAAAACATTTCTTTATATTCAAGTCAGTAAGTCCATGTACAATAGGAGTAAAAGAATTTTAATTTATTGTACATAAAAGAAGTTAACTTTATATCTTCATGATATAATATGTAAGATCATACCTGTTGTATCCAATATCAAATTATGATTTCACAAAAACAGAGTAAGAAAACACTTATACTTTTACCAAAAGATTGCTAAGAGAGTCCTTTACCTAATTCTTCAGTTGTGGTGATTTAATGTTACTACATTTTATCTTTTGTTAATAGTATACAAACGGTTTAGTGTATTATATTAAAATAATTTTTAATATGTGAATTAATAAGTTATATGATATCTGTGGTTAAAAAATACTGCCTTGGACGATGGGGAGGGGGGAGTTGCCCCGCGATTAGAAAGTTCAGAGTTTGAGACATGCCAGTGTCTGTCACAAATTTCACTAAAAAACATAAATACTGTATAAAAAAGAAGCTTTATGGTTTAATTGACAAGAATAAATAGTTATGCAAATTATAACTCAATGTAAAAAACAAAATTTCCACTTATACCTTAACAGGAATGGATCCAGGGCTTTTTAGGGTGAGGGGTCCCACGAGCCCTTTACTAGTAATTTTAATCAATTTACATTAATGTCACTTTATTGCTGTTAAATATGTATGAGGGTCCAAACCCCCCTGGATCCACACTTACTTATACAAAATTTAAAAAGTTATTAATTTATTTAAAAATGTGAAAGGGACGAAGCCTTGTGCCCTAGATGTTCTGCTATTAATACGACATTTAGAAACAGTTATTAATTTCTGGGGAAAAAATGGTGGAGGTCCAGACCCATGCCTGCTTATACAACACTATGTAATAGTTTCCAAATAAAATTAGAAACATAACACAATGTAAAAAACAGTCAATTTACACTTTAGTTAACAGTAATCAGAGAGTTAGCGATGGGTGCTGTCAACCAGTTGCTTTTTTTCTAATCAGTTTTGTTTTAAAGCAAAGCCACATTGGGCTACCTGCTGTGGGCACTGCGAGAAATCGAGACCCGTATTTCAGCGTTATGTCCGTAAACTTACTGCTCTCCCATCAGGGGACCATCTAGTCAGCAACTCAAGAGAATATTGTTGCGTCAGCGAGGTCACGTGACTAGTGTCACGCCACCTATTTTCTAG